TTTAAGTAATATAACAGAAAAGTCTGCTCGACCCAACGAATACCATGAATAATATTATACTAAGTATGCTCCAAATGATTCATTTTTAATAGTTATGGCTTTTTATATTTATATACTTTTTTAATATTCGACTACATAGTAAATTTATGCAATTCTTGGCTGCTTCTACGAACCTTTTTATTTTCACCCCTAGGGGATCACAGTTTTTATTTGGCCCACAACGAACCAAATTATATAAAATTCTTTTTATTTTTTCATTTATTATTTATTGAATTTAGACTTTCATGTAAAACACATTATACTAATTAAATGAGAAAATTGAATGACGCTTAAATTAATTCAAAACATGTGAAATAATATTTTGAATAACACACAGTAAGTTGGATATCAAGAGTATTTATATAATTACTACACAAATAATCAAAGTATAAAAACTTGAATTTATCAATTATTTATTATGTTCCATTTTAAATTTTACAGATAAGGATAAAATATTTTATTCAATTGTTCATCATTGATTTTCTTCATGTAGTAATAATACGTCTTATTTAAAATATTAAAACGCATCGTTTAAATTGAATTAGTTCAAGTAAGTTATCAGTCATTGTCACGATCAAAGTAGCAGAAAATGATTATTAGGAAATTTCGATATAAATCTAAGTGCAAAAATATTTTCAGAAAAACAAATAATAATAAATTTCTTTATTATTTAATGAGTTTGTTTTAATTTGATTTAAAAATTTTTACAATAAAATGTAATTATTTTTTATTCCTTCAAGGTCAAAAGCCTTAAAATTAATTTTTTTTTAAAGGAACTGTTATTTTTAAATGAATTAGCTGATAGAAAAAAATTTTGTTAACAATTTTGTTCTTATACTTTTTTTTGCCCGATTGATTGACTTTACGATACAGCATTTTAATACATACCTACTGAATGTATTAAAATTGATAAATTACTGTTTTTTTAATTTTCCATAAATAAATTTAAAAAAATTGCTGACTGCGAAGCAACAATTATCTTGTAAACATATTTCAAAAAGTTATTACCTTGTAAGACATCTTTCTATAGGTTTGATATACATTTTACAATATACTCCATTAGTTGGGAACGTAATATGATTATGAATATACTGTATAGTAAAGTCGCATTTCTACTTTCTCTTAAACTTTTAAGGCAATTCAAATGAATTAGCAAGAATATTAGTTATCAAAGTATATTATCTACATACCATACCGGGTCTTCTTTAGTTTTGAATATGAACAACTTATATTCAAATAAAATCATGTATTTATTAGGTTTATTACACCGGTAATAATTTCCATAAATTTTAAGGTTATTCTAAGTTTGTACGCAAACATATTCATGAATTACTAAGTGTCTTAAATCCGGAAACAATTTATCTTAGACTACATTACTTCCTAGAGATTATCAAATATATGAAATATATCGGTTTTATAGACTTTTGTTTATTAAAATTAATTAGATTGACAAAACAAAATTAACTCATTTCGCTAATTTGTAGATTTATTACACGTAAACGCGTTTTTAAAAGTACGAAAGGCAATTTTTTCAACATAAAGCTTTTACATTCGTTTACACACATGTTTTGATATCATTAGCCAATTTATCATACCTTTATTTTTAAAACTTAACTCAGTACTGTGTTTTCCTCAGTCGCTTATCACGTTATAAATATATAACCTATGCAAGTGTATCGGGTCTGAATCAGAAGTTAACAGAGGCCAAGGGTAAAAAGTGTAAGAGAGTTATAATGGTATTAACTTGATTTTTAAATGACAACATACATATTTAACTAGTTTATGCAATAGAAAATGATTAAACTAAAAAAATGACTGGTCGGTAACAACTTTCGAACCAGCGATTCACCACAAGTCAATATTAAAATTTGTTAATAACTTTAGAAATACTGGTTCAAAAGTTGTTATCGGTCAGCCATTTTTTTTAGTTGAATCATTTTCTATTACATAAACTAGTTAAATATCTGTTGACTTTTAAAACAAATAATGCTGGTACCATTAAAAGGTATAAAGGATTGATTAGAAACAATTATAAATCGAGAAATAAATTATACTAAACAAAATACATTTTTTTTTTTGAAGTTATTAATTATAATATTAATAATAAAAATTCGATTCGTATAATTTTTGATTTACAATTTACTGCCGTTACATTATATTATTTAAAAGAAAAACGACTTTAAACGTCTTTCTTTTAGAGCATATCTATATTATTTTTAAGTAAAATTAAAAGTAATATTTATTTAAAAACTGATAAGCGGCAACACATATTTATTTATATATTTTTAGGTAATTTCATCGTAACTTGTATCAACAATACATATGATAAGTTTAGTGATAATCAATCGATAATTTCAAAACGTCGTTCATTTATTTTTTGGTCAATTAAATGTTGTAATATTGAATTTTTGAAAGAGATTCGCTATATTTTGGTGAAAGGATTACAAAAATCAGCCATTATTATATATATCTAACGGTATTTCGCATTATATATTTACAAGCGCATTGGTACTCATTAATTATGACGTCTTAAATAAAATTGCATTATTGCTACATTTCTTTGTCTGCTAACAAATAAATACAACACACAAAATAACATTCCTAAGTATTTTTCAAAAATGTTACTTTTAAAAACTTACTGTTTTTTTTACTTTAATTATCAACAAAATTACCGGGGATACACTATTAGTGAAAATATCATAAAATGCACATGTAAAAATATCAGTGGCTCTATTTGTAATACTAAAATGAACATTATAAATCAATAGTAAATACAATATTAAAAAAAGTAAACTTGTGGAATCACTTAAGGAAACTTAGTTGAAAATTATTTATGTATCAATGTATTTTATTTTTATACAACTAAAGTCAAACTTTTTTTTATTTTTTATTTATTATTGAGAAATTATTTTCGTTATAATTTTTTGTCATTAGTCTAAAGAGATTTTTATTCGGTTAAAATTACAATATAAATTGTATAATATAATTGTAGTGATTTTTAGTTTTAGAAAAGTTAATGTTGACCGCATTTATAATTTAAAAGTCATATTAATTTACAAGAATGATCTAAAAAAAAATTCTAGAAAATGTTCTTTTAAATACTAAAACTTGTATCTAAAAGTTCCTCTTAAATGCTCCCTAAGGAAATGTTGGAAATTATTTTTAGCTTCGATGCGAAACTGAGTCGGTATTAATTTTATCATGACGATATATATTCTTCTGTTTTCTGTCTAACACTACTTTTTCTAAGGTCCCACTGTACCGATTTTGTTCAACGATACATCAAAAGATCAAAAGTCGTATATAGTTGAAGATATTTGTCATAAATTTTTGAATAATGAATGAATCATAAAATTATTTCTTTTTATAAATATCTTAAGTTTTTCTTTTTCTTTAATATATATATTTTTAAAACTGATCCTTAATCAGGGAAAATTCAAAATAGCTAGTTTTGCATGAATAGTTAACCTTATTAACTTAACTTTTAAAAATGTTCCAGAGATAGTGTTAGCTTCAAATTATATTAAATAAAAGCTTGTTACATACTATAAGTTAGAAAAAACAATGTTCTAACTTTTTATTTTTGGGTTAAAATTGTTTATATTTTCTACTCTAACTTGCTATAAAATTTTGAAAATTCATGGATTAATACAATTTTAGTTTATAAATATTTTATACATAATCTATTCATTTGACATACTTTTTTAAAAAACCGGACCATGCCCCCTAATACAGTAAGATACAAAACTTGAAACATATATATGATAAGTAGAAATTTTTCAACTTACTTTTTGAAAATATTTCGAAAATACTTAGAGTTTCAAACATATATTAACTTAAAGCTTATGTTACATACTATAAGAAATAAAAAAAATTTATCCTGACAACTTATATTCTATATTTAAGCGGCCCTAGAGTTAATAAAAAAATGTTATTTGATGTAGAAAATCACTGTTTTTCATGTTATAATAATTTAATTATATATAATTCTTAAATATAATTTAAGAAGGATGGTAAAAGTACCTCATTTTAACCTCCCACCTTCAGATACAAAAAAATCATTTAAGTATTAGTTACAAATATGTCACAGCTATTATTGTCAATCCAATGAGTATATTAAAAGTAAGAGCGCTGCCCTTTCCAAAAAAAAAAAAAAAAATGTTCTGGTTACTTATGGTTTATGATAAATTACAATTTCAATGACATGATTAAAATAAATGTTTGTAGGTGTCTGCGTATCATTTAGTATTTACACATGTATTTTATTACGATTTACATTATATATACCTATAATGTATTTAATAGTTGTAACAATATTCCGTGATTATATCAATTATACTTTTGAAATAAAAATGCACAAGTTCGGTTGTTTTCGGCTCTGTTTTTGCATTATTACTTAAGAGACTTATTTAAATTTCTTGTCTAAATGTAATATAACTAAAAGCAATAAGAAAATATTATTGAAGTCTATACGTAATCGGAAAAAAACTATGGTGTAGAAGAATTTAACAGCGTTTAATCTCAAATGACGTCATGTTGTGATCGTTTTACAACAGTTATCTTGCAACAACCTGTAGACTATGAGTTTGACATTACAACGTTAGTAATGTAGTTTTTACATCCAAACCATTCCAGACGAGTTAGAACTGGAGAGATGCCTTTTTAGTAACGCAACGAAATTAACAGTTTTGTTCATTGACGAAACTCGATATTAAGCGTCTGCCTATGATCAGATATATGTGTAGGCAAATAACAAAAAAAACAATAATAAACATCGATAGGGACAACATGCAGGCGGGGTCACGTGTATTGATATTGATGATTTTAAATTACACAGAGATCACAGTGTCTGGCGGTCTTTGGGACACAACTGCAGTACCAGCTGTATAACTATGCTGAACGGCGAAACCAGTTTTTTAAGAGGGAGAAACAGATCCCAGCGGTAGCAGCAGCTTGTGGTAACAACGCAAATGTCGCGCGCGTTAGTACGTGTACGACGACCGTAGTTGCAGTGCGTCAACGTGTTGGTGTGTATTTTTATAACAACCATCTGCCGGCTGTGTGTATTAGCCGCCGACTTAAAAAGTCGTAGTGAAACTAGTGTGGTTGCTATTAAGTGCGGTACGTTCAGTGAATACTTTGTTATGTGTTGCTTATTTTGCCATACATTTTGAGCCTTTCGATGTACGGTTAGGGGAAGCGTAAATGACGGGATGGCCGGCCCGGACGCTGTTGCTGTTGGCCTTTGCGTTGTCGTCGCCAGCCATTGTTTGGGGGAACGATGACGGCCAGCAGCAGCAGGTCAACACGACCATCACAGCATCTTGGTGTACCCGTCCAGAATGCACTTGCTCGCCTGTCTCGGAGGGCCGAGTGGCTCTCGAATGCGTATACACTGGCCAACAGGTGAGTTTTCAAAACTTAATCATTGTAATTTTGCCGGTGTCTGTAAAAGCCAGTGAGGTTTCACCATTCACCACAACTATATAATTATATAGCGGTGTATAAGCCACGACCAATTACTTGAATCGCCGATTTTCTTCAAACGGCCTTTGAGTTTCATTTTAATTATTGTCTCCCGAGGGAAAGAGGAAATCGTCCTTTATGTGCCGATTTAATTAAAAACGATTTTAAAGTTACCTTAAGCGATAAAAAAACTTCAATTGGTCGAATGGTATTAGGATGGAGAGTTCGTAAATGCACTTTTTATGTCACGCTATTAGTTTTATTCCCTCTGTTCTTAAAAGTGTCTTTTTGTGAGTGTCGGCTGCTAAATTGAAGTTCCGATGATGACAAACATCACAAATATTATTGTTATTGTGCGCTGATTTCATAAAATGTGCACTTTTACCGATTTAGTCATAATAAATTATAACTTGACGCTACTAAGTTCTGTATTTGGAGTTTGCACTGTTACTCGAATAGATCTTGATAAAAGTAATTGATATAACCTGTCCTAAATATATAACAAAGTGAAAATCAAAAGTTTAGATAGTGCGAAAGTATATTTATAAAAACAATATAACTATGAGAGATTTAAAAAATATGAAAATATTTTAGCTTTTTGCGTAATACAAGACAATAAACATTATAACATGAATGGTATAAATTACAAATTTATTAATTTCGAAAAATTGAATAGGTTATTTAAAAAATGATCTGTTTTTATTAAAACTAACGTCGTACAGTTCGGATTGTTAACATTTGAAACGACAACTAAAAGAAAGTAATTGACTAAGGTAATTAAGTTTATTTAAGTATATTTGAAAATGAACTTTCTTCGTTTTGGAATAATTTGTGGGATTCAAGTTTGTTTAATTACATTCTGAATAGTCAACAACCGAAGTGACTGAATACATTTTAATAATTTGAATTATTTAAATAGGTATTGCTTTTTACTGGTTAAGTTTTATAAGAAAAAAATTAAAGCATTTAAAATGATTATAAAAAAAAGGGTTTTTGTTTTTCTCTTTGTTTCGAAATGCGTTGCTATTTTTTTATTACAGGATTAAATTAATGTAGTTTTTTTTTTATGAAATAAAATTAATCATGCTTATTATCATGCTTTCAGCTATATGATTTAATAATCAATAGAACCTATAGAATATAAACAGATAATATATCGAATATTATTTTATTGTTAATGATTAATTTGATTAATATCAATTGTAATTATACATCTTCACTTGGATAATCTAAAAACTGAGATAACATGACATGTTATTTTTACACAATTATAATACTGTCAAACAGTTAAAATGTGTCTTTTGGAAAAATATCAGATACCCGAAAATAATTTCAGTAAAGATACGATAACATTTAACAAAATTTAATACCATACTTATAAAACACATTTTACGAGGTTATTAGTATAAAAATGAATTTCCAAGGAATTTTCACAACCTTTTAACTTAACGATATAAACCGATAAATTAATTTTACTACCTATTATAGACAATTCTATTCATCGTAGACGGCATTCACTATTAATATCAACTTGCTTGTTAGGTGTAATTAAGCGTTGAAAACAGATATTATTTCTATTTCTTAGAGTTACAATCACGGCCGACATTTTGTAACCGTGAATCTAATTTGTTCACTATGCGAGACTCATCTACATAATAGAAACATACGAGTGGCTTGTTAAATATAAACAATCAAGGTCCAACTTCTAATAATATTTCGTTGATCAAGAATATGCAGCAACATGAAAAGTAGTTTTTCGCGTCACAATTTGACAACTTTTGTATCAACAATATTATTTCTTCTTGTCAAAAGCCATTTAGAGTAATTATTTTTAATTTAACGTTTCACGAAATATATAAGTATAAACATCTTTACAACTCTTTCATGATGAGTTTATAAATATGTATTCTATGTCATTTAGTAGGCCCTTTAGACATTTCGTTTGTCACGCAGTTATAATGAAACTTAAATATTTTATTGGAAACAATGTTGATTTGTTCGTCACAATTACTTACAGTTTGAACTTTTGTGCTAAGGTTAAAATCGTATTTATTTTGACTAGTCATGATTGAACGAATCGAAGGTTTTTTCAATCACTTGTAAAATCGACAGTTATTGAACACAATGTATAGCACATAAAACCGAATTTAGAGAATGATTTTGAACAATAATAAAATATGGACCTACAGTTATTGTCCGGCAGTTAGTTCAGTGCAGCTTCCTCGTTAGTAGCTATCACTCGACCAGATAACCGAATGAACGTTTGTGTGTGTTATTACTAATATACACGCACATATATATATATGGTTTTGCCAGAGTGTATGTCTACTGCTTTTAATAGCTTTATAAAACCATCATTAACGAGTACAACGACCATTGTGCGTATACGTGATCCAACCTCCGTTATTATTATTATCAATATGATGTTTGTCTCCTAAGGTCTATAATTATTTATAAAAGTCGCCCAGTATATACATCATTTACTTTTAAATTCTTAAATTTGAATTTTTAATTTAAAAATCGACCGAACTACAGTGGTTATCGCCTTGTTTAAATACATTTCGCAGTACAAATAGCAAATAAAATGCCATAAATATATCGTTAATTTTTATTGTCATACAGCTGTGTAGCCGAAATTCTTCAAATGAAATGCAGTGCAATGGCTTTTGATGTACATTTTTCTTTTTGTTTTATTTTCATAACACAATAAGACGTGTTACCTATCTTTGAAATGCCCTACCTTTATATTCAAACATATGCCACTCTATAGAGTTTGATTTATGTATATTTACCCCTAGTTTTTCGCATCGCCGCCTTATGAATATTATGTTCGCAAAAGACGTGGGCTCTTGGTATGCTATGAGCGGTTTCAGTAATATTTTATAGTTTGTAGGTGTATTTTCTCATTCGATTTTCCAAGCAGTGGTAAACATTATTAATGTCCATATATATTGGAGTATGAATAAGTAAACTAAGACGCGTGTAAATAACATTGCAGAATTTTTTTTACATAATATTTTGGGTACAATTATAACAAACATTTTACCGTATGAAACGAACAACAAAAATACTCCTACTCGACTCGCAGCAAAAAAGTGTGGGATATATGCAAATTATATTTCTGGTTATTTTTTTCTAAATTGTTAACATAAAGTTTTTTTGATTCAAATTAATAATATAAAACTCATACGCCTCTCTGCGAGACAAATTAATAGAGAAAGCAGTTATGTCATTTTCAAATGAAATCACATAGACTAAGTAATACATGACTTAGTTTGAATTTATTTGAAAAAATGTGTACAATAAGTAAAGCAATCTTTTGGTGATCAAATGAAACATCTCTGTACACATTTACAACATTTGAACATGTGCAAAGGTTTTATGAAATGTAACATAAATTATGACCTTGAAATACTTGACAACAGCTCACAGTCTTGAATAGTTTTTTTATACGGCTACACTAACTGAAAATTATAAAAATATATACAAAATGACGCACCGTTTGTTCAGAGATTCATTGACAGTTTAGTTGTCTAGAAGAATCGAGAGATTTTTGATCTAGAAAATAACAAACTAAAAACTTTTAAAATCTTTTGAACCACATAAAAATTTCCTTCTAATATTAGTAAAAAGTAATTGTAATTAAATGTTTTTTAGTTAAGATCCTATCTCTTGAGTATTTAAGAGCCTTATTTTTGAAAATCCATAAAGAGCCCTTGTTTTAATTTGGGCTAGAGGCTTTAGTTCTTTCTTAAATCGGACCCTAAACAATATAGTATATTTAGAAGAAGAGAAACGATTATATCAAAGGCTTTTTAATGTGGATTTTTTCACATGGGAGTTTTTCATTCGTTTGAAAAATATGCTGTAAATAGTTGTTGCTATGTTAAAATAAAAATTGATAATGTAAAGAAAACTATTGTTTTTAAAAATTTCCATTTAAAGTCGTAAAAGGTTATCATAATGTTAGGCGTCAATTTAGTATTTTTCTTAGATTTCTTTAGTTCGATCATTTAATTCAATAAATAATTGTTTTGATATTTTTAGGAACTAAAAAGCTGCATTAACAATATTTATAGAAGTCTCTTTATGAAATGATTAAAATCCTCGGTCTCTTTATAAAATCAGTTTGCTTTGTTTGAAAATTTAAATACTGGATAAATTATGTCTGTTGATTCTTACTTAGTTTAAAATATTTACTTTTGTCAAGCATTTTTTGAGTACGGCCATTGATTTTATGTATAAAGTTTTCTTTGTTAACGTTAACAGAAGCTACATGTAATGTCACGTGGATGTGGACGACTAAAAATATGCGTCTTTTATAAACGAAGGAAAATAGCTAAGGCAAAATATCAAGGGAACTTACATTGTTTAGGAAACACTGCGCTCGCTGCCGTCTTCAACACTTCCGTTCACACGAAAAGCGAATGGAACGAGTATTTTTATAGTTGTCCAAACGATGATCGTAAACCGAAACGAAATTAAAAAAAATAATAAGACCAAAAAGTGGATACTATAATTTTCTTCATTGTATTTCACGATGGCAAAGGCTATGGGCTGTGGTATTATTAACGATATCACAACGGTAATTAAACGAAATCGCACAATAACATTAATAGTCATTTTGTTACTACTCGTTTCTGTCGTCCCTTTTGTTTTGTGTACATGGCACACGACATTTCGAGTCTGTTTTATAATACTATAATAGCACATTGTGTCGAATGTTCATAATCGTAAAAAAACATTATGATTTTGCCCATTCGAACAAGTGATTCAATTCCAAACTAAAATACAATAAAAAATGAACGACTAAGTATGAGATCAAAATTATTAAGCTTTAAAAATCGCATTTTGTAGTATTGTATCAGCGATTATCGGCGATTGTAAATAACACTACGGTTAGTGTATGTAAGGACGGGGCTTATGCATTGTTTGGTACA